CCGGTAGTCTGTCTTTACCTCCCATTCGTAGAAGGGGAGAGTTAGTGAAGAGTACGCGTAAGTTTACCATCGAGAAGGCACTCGTGACCGCTGTCCTCAGGCGTTGTCTCACCTGTTCACTTGCTGCGCCTCCCATAAGGGGTCTGATAATGAATTACCGGAAACAATCGTTTGCCAATACGATCTTTTAACTTCGTTGTGTCTATAATATTAGGGTACTGGCGGGGCTCGAGGGTGAACCCCAAGGCACTGCTTCACGAGTATGACCGTACCGCGATCGCTGATTGACCCTCTATCAGTACTGTTAGTACTGCTGTGGTTCAAACGCAGTTTTTGCGCTAGGCAGCAACGAATAGCCGTACGGACGATGTGGACTTTCATTTTTTTACCAGCACTTTTTCTGACTCCGTTCGCGTTGGGTGGAGGGTGGACGGTAGGTAAACCGCCCTAAGCGACTGCTGACCGTAGCTCCCAGTCGGCAAACCTAACACAATCTTTCATTGATCGCCTCCGGCTTGTATATCGCTGCCCTCGCTTAAGGCTATCTTGGGGTGAGTTTTGGTTAGAAGGTGGGTTGCTATTGGAATTGATTGAGCCGTGAGAACGACTAAAGCGACCCGCCATTGCTCCCTAGTCTCATCATAATCCGGGTACAAGATTACGCCAAGACAGCTGCCATTGTGACTGGGTTCAGCGTCCGGCTTGATTTAAGTCACACAACGGTCCACTTCATTTGGTCGAAATGACTGGAAGAGTAGCTGTGACTAATGTATGGAACGCAGTTTCGCGACGCCAGGTATTCGTAAATTGTGGACACAAACCCTAATATAAAATACTTAACGTTCAGCTGCCTCCAGGACCACAACACAGTGCATGTCTGCAGGGAAAAAACACATTAACTAGAAAACACTGGTCGGGAGACTTCTTGAAACTGAATTGGGTTCCAATGGTTTTGGACAGTTTTTGACCCTCGGTCGAGGCCTTTAAAACTATGTAAAGTCAGGTGGAGCCACCAATCGTTACTTTGCCTGTTGCTATTATTTCTGTTATGTTCTTTCGCCGTAAAATGTTCTTCTCTTTCCACAACATGCTATCTTCTTGCATGTGGCTAAGCCGACCAACCGCCTGCCAAGGTTCCGCATTGGTCTCGTC